TGACCTGAGTATCTTGAAGAAACCCAATATGTGACAGCTGACAATGGGATTTGAGCTAACATGCCCATAAACGCCCAGAAAGGGAAAACATGAAGAGGAATCGAGACCATATATTCGTGGAAAAAAGCTGATAGTAGGAATACAGCAACTTGTGCGATAAACTTCGATCCACCTGATTTTAAAATAGGCTTGTAGACGTGTCTCGTACACCATTTGTGTACGGGTATATTCCATGCTTGCCAGAAATAAACAATTGTTTCTGAATTCCACCAATCTCGGTAAAATTCACGATCCGCGAAACGTAAAACTTCGGCAATAACATTTAGAACAGAATGGAAAAACCAGTAAAAGAAGATAAGCCACATAAAGTGATTAGGTATCGCAAGTCGAAGAAGTCTTTCCAACATTCTGCTTCCTTCCAGCTTATGTATGGGGCGATGGCTTTTTGTAGAGTAGGAACAATCCATTGCTGACAAAGAGCTAATTCAAGTTGCAGTAAAAACAACACTTCTATAATTCTTCTCAAGAGAAAAGCTCTTCGTATTTTTATGCTTCGTGGATAATTCAATTCATAGCATAGAGTTGGTGCGCACATAAAATAGTATAAATTTTTTATTGTTAAATTGTATGGGTATTGGACCTGAATTGCCTCTGGATTCAGTTTTTCATCGATCCTTGTATCTGGCATTGAAGCTGTGCGTCGAAGTTTTCTTTTTTGATTCGAAGCTTTGAGATAATCTTCCCGATACCAGCTATTTGCTTGTGCATAGGACCACAGTTTAACAAAGACAATGATGTACGTACCACATGCAAAGACTGAACCTATTGGGTGAGGTTCTAACATCAATATTTGCAATGGCGGAAGGACTACTACTCCTAATTGATTTATTACATGGAACCCTATGCCAACGCTGTTTGAAATTTTGCTTCGGGCAACAGCTAGCTCTATGTAATATGCAACTACTATAAAAATATTGGAAGCGCACATCAACAACACATTTGGCCACTCATATGGGTCTTGGAAAATCGCTGCAAGCCATTGAAAAGGATCAACCAATATTCCATATTTTAGAACATTTTCAAGAAATAATCTTGCATTGCTAATAGCAAGAAGTATGACACAGAGGTTCAAAAATCCGCGATAATCAGAGAAGCCACTTTTCGAGCTAAATAAAGAGTCTCTCGCTTCGTGACATATCTTTGTACCATAATGTGGCATTTCTTTAACGATTCTAGTGTTTTCCGTCTTTGCAGTATGTTCTGTGCCATTTTCATTTGCTCTTAGTTTAGCCTCCGATATGCTGACAGATCTATTGGTTCTTCGACGCACTGCAGGCATATTGAATAATTGAAGGTATAAACAAATTAATAACTGGAAATGAATGTTATATTTGGTATTAGGATGAATAAAATGTAAAATACACATAATTGCTCAAGTATAATCAGAAATAAGCTCTGGGCGTTTCCTTATCCAGAATACAATACTAGTCACCTCATGAGCTAGTACTAATATCTAACACATCACTAACAATTATTGCAGTAAACTTTATATTAATGATTAACATGCGACGCCACCATACTGAGGGTATACTAAACAAAACATGCCAACAATCAAAACAAATCATAAAATATCATATCAATGTTCAGTTACATAATGCCAATGTAGAATGAACCCAGATATATGCTATCATGTTTTGATTCAAATGAAAATCTCGAATGGTTAGTGTGACAAAAATTAAATTCAACTCGATTGATTATCAAGTTCCCAACTTACCCCAAAATGATGATTTTTGACATAACAGGATGGAGGGAATTCAATAATGATATGCTGAGCCCGATGTATACCCATCCAGAACTGAAATATCTCAGGAAATGGAGGGGATTCTGTACTAAGTCAACATTAATCAAATCAATTGAAAGGAAGCGTTTACATTAATTGATTATTAAGTGAGAAATGAGTCTCTATTATTTTTGAGTGTGCATTATCTTGCTTTGAGCAAATTCTCTTGAAAAATACTGTAATCAGATATGGGAAGTTCAACATAAATATGTAAATACCGCATCAAAGCACAAGCTTGTCTTAACATATCCGCACAAAGGCTATGTGTTCATAGTGCTTTACAATAAGCTAGAACACATACTGCCTTGCATATATATGGCAGTAATGGCATGCAATAGTTGTGCTAGATTTACCAGGCCATAAAGAATCGAAGAGGGTTTTTATTACTTCATTGCTAAAAAGGGGCCTCACAAATGGCATAGCATAAAGGCCTATCATCATCTAAATCCGGCCCTGAATATAACAGGTAACTTTGTTAACCATTACCCTACATTAAGACAGTTTGCATCGCATGAATGTATAAACATTTAAATACGACCATGTCGTGTACTTTACAATATAATGTAAGTAAACATAGTACTGTAGTACCGGTATTAACTAAGATCAATAATGTAAGAAGAATAATTAATTATTGAAAGAATACCATGAGAATGAATTTTAATGAAATGCCTGAATTGAAAAGCATTGCTTTTTAACCTTCATACACCCAAATTATTAAAGCACGAAGAATATCCATAATTACGGAGGATGGCAAACATATAAGTACTAGGCTGCATCAATGAGATTCACAAGAGTAGAAAAATTGCCTGACTGTATGCTTAAAAAACATGCCCATTTTTGTTGGTTGAACGGTAAATTGCAATATGTCTGTATGTAGAACGCGGGTCTCGTGAAGTACACGCCGCAAGTACCGGTACTTCTAGTTGACCTGGCTCGACAATTTTTGTATATGTCCTTCCTAACTACGCTCATGTGATAGTTGACAAAACATGTTAGAATAACTGCGCTATTTCTATATTTATTATAAAAATAGTCTATAACTCGACGTGGAACTTTCCGCCTCCTTTCGTTACCAAAATTGATAAAATAAAATCAACCACCACAAACCAGAAAAGAATAAGTAATGAAGATCGAATCAATTCACAATCTCACCAGCAACGCGCCTCGAAATGGACTTTGGACCGACTTTCGCATGTTCGGAACACGTACCTAAGTGATTTATCTGACGCAATCTCTAGTGTTGAAGTCGTGACATTGTATTATAATGTGTCTAGGTATGATCTGGTAGTACAATACCTCATGATTGTCAGTTTCTAGTCGCAATAAATATCAGTTTTACGTTGCAATAAATATTAGTTTTACGTTTCGCTTCGTTTACTTTTTGGCGGCGAGGAGTCCTTCAATCCTCTCGCATATATTATCCCACACGGAATTCGAGGCGATCAAGGTGCGATGGAAGGCGTATTCCCCACGCTTAACCAACCGATTGGTGTGAATATTTCATATAAGAAAAGTACGTTAGTTTGGAATATTCAAACAGGCCGTGTGGGTGGTGTGCCTTTTCCTAATTTGCAAGGGTCGAACCCAACTACATAGCAATCGCCAGTAAAGACGAATATTTTTAGGTCCGGCTATGATCCTTCATCCCGAATCCAAGACACAAGTCATTTGTGATAATTAATATCGAACGCAAACAACAACAGACTCCTGAGACAACTAAACAAGGAATGATTACACATTTACACGAAGTACAGCGGTCACGAAGAACGCTACGGAAAAAGCGGTACATGCATAAGCAAGTTGATTAAAGTTTTTACTTGTACATTTATATAACATGTAATGAAATCTAACGGAAACACTGACTAACTGGCGTAACCTTTTCCCGTTAACTGATCACGGACGGCATTTAGCTATAGAATCCCGGGTTTCCAGCGAATCTCTTTGTACGAATCGGATTCTATCTACAAACTCATCCTAACTTGTCACATGGTGTACATTAAGTGATTATTCAAACCAGCACTGCGTATCCCGGCTTTCTTTCACTTTCCGCTGCAGACTTTTACTGCCTTGGAAACGTGAACCCTCCGGTGACTAGTAATTTACAGTTGAACGGAACTCCAATAAAATAACCCAAAGTATGTCGTGTAGAGGAATTTTATTCGCATTTCCACATCACACTTCATAAGCATTGTTAGTTTTATTGATGTTGATGACTATTTGTCTTTGAGCAAAAAGAGATGTGTGCAAGTGAAACGATCTCTAGCTAGTACAAAGAAAACAAAAACAATATATATAATAAGATATTGTAATAGTAGTAGTAATAGAAGAATAATCATCATCGAAGGGTAACAATACTAACAGGCGTAAGAAGGTGAACAACGACAATATCATTAAAATTATTGGTAGAAACACTAGAATAAAAATAGGCTGAAAACAAGACAAAATCGGTCAATATTAATTGTTTAGAAATTATAATGTCCATGCATGAAAATAATTTGTGGATTGTCTAAATAATATAAAATAAGCCAAAAATAACAATCACCAACTATTTTATGAAAAAGGAAACAAAATCTGAAATTATATAGTGAGTAACTCAATTGCTTACTTGCTTGCTATGTTCCTTGAGAAAAGAATTTCTATAAAACCAAAATAATATTGTTAGGTACAGAAAAAATCAGTTATTATTGAATAACCAAGCCACTGAACTAATAATGGTGGGGCAATCTATAAGACAAGAAAATTTTATTGATTATATTATACTGGACATACAAAAATTAGCGAACCCAGTATTGTGAAATGAAAACAATTATTAAGTAATCTGCAACATGCATTTAAAATTAGGGCAACATTCTTATTTTGATGAATATCTATATTTTGCATTGAATGCGAATACGAAAGGGCTACATTCATATATGATCCTGTATTTGCAAAAGAAACTAAATTTCATGTATATGAAGAGAAAAAGAGAATTAATTGTTTAAAAACATTGGGATGCAATCACCAGCTTAAAATAGCACAAACAAAAAAACTCAACATATCTTAAGATGAATTAAGGTGACCTAAACAGTCATTTATAATAACACTTTCTTATAATATTTGGCTTGAATGGCAAACTGAAAGAGAAAACTTTCAACTTGGGTTCATATTCAGTGACCCACGGAATATAAACAAATCAAAATTGATGAAAAAGTACAGAATTTGCCACTTTTTGCAAGTTTTTATTATTTCAATTGCTTATAAAAATTAATTTATAATTTATTCAACCTCGAGCAATACTTTTGCAAGTTTCAAATAAGCTTTTACTGTGGCGGATTGTGTTCACTTTACTGAATTATTGCATAAAAGTATAAATGCAGAGTCAGGACAGGTTTGATTCATCTGATTTTGACAAAAAGTAAAGGGACAGCTCGACATGAATCTGAAATTTGTTACAGAGGCAGAGATTTTCATAATATTACAACCATCATTTCCAAATAGCGAGCTTCTTTACAGAGTTTTTCAATGCATTATATTTGTAAAACAGCTTAGCGTGAAGATCAATAAACTGGACAAGTAATTAACTTCTGTAAAGGGAAAAACCTTCTACTTACAACCCAACTTTCTACAAAAATACCAACGTTTAATACATCACCAAGCATGAACATTCCTTGTAATAACAAACCGATTCCGACATAAATAAACAAAACTATGGTAAATAACCATACCAAATCAATTCTGAAAATCAATACTCAAGACATTCTTCTAACAAATCTCGAACCCAAATATCAATATCACACCAAACAATGAAGATTTAATTTAAGTAGTGCCACTGCAGAATGGTTTGAAAACTAATATTCATACCAAAAAAAAATAAACCAGGATGAAAACACAAGATTGCCAGGCACTACCCAGTCCAGGTTTATCCTATTTATGAAATGCCAAAAATGACTTATTTAACCTTGTATTATCACAAGGCCAATCTTCGACTGACACTAAGAAATTGACCGCTGTTTAAATTCAAATCTATATATTTTCGCTTTTACATATTTAGAATGTAAATATCCAATAGTTCATAAATTTGTTACAAATACTTTTTAACAATAATTTAAACACACATACCCATAGTGCCTTAAAATCAATGTAACAGCCATATCATCAGATGAAAAAAGGTAAGATACATAAAAAAATAAAGAAAAAAAACAAACTCAAAAATTAAACTTACAGCTGCCAACCGCAAAAATAAGAATTTTAATGATGTCAGTTTGGCAAAGTGAAATGACGAACATTAGTGCAAATTAAAGTATGAATCAGCTTCCTCAAAAGGAATTATACAAGTATATAAGTCTCTTTCAAAAAAGACATTTTATAATTTTCCAAGCGAGAATAGGTATATTATTTATACAATAAGTGAAAAATCAATAAGTTAATCAAATATACTTTATACAACAACCCACAATAACATGTTCTAGTCCCGTTAGCAAATACGCTCCTTACAAATGAGGAAAATTCAAAATAATATTTGATGCAAAACGTTACTTCATACAGAAAAATCACATTCGAACAAAGATTGAGAATTAAGGGTTGACAGTTCAGTAGCAAACATCTTGATTTAGTCTTTGCCGCTAAAATATTATAGAGTGTATTCTGACCATTTATACAATTTGTTGGTTAAAACTCAACCTCTTGGCTTGTGACATGGGTACAGAGTATCAATACAGAAAACCACCGACATTCTCTGTTGTAAAGCAATTAAGCAGAACAGGAACACAATAGTTGCAGAGTGAGAAAGTTTTGAAGGATGTGATAACGGACGGTCAAGATCAGGCATCCCACGATCCGGACTCTGAATCCAGAAGATACGTCGTTTTGGGATGAGAGCTCGGGCTCGGAGGCAAACTCAAGTCTGAGCTCTTGTTGGAGGCTAGAAAAAAAAGATTCACGCTCACTGATCGCATTCAAAATTTTAAGAACAGGTTCTCTTTTGTATTGAACTCACAAACAACAGGTTCCTCATCTCAGAGAACCACTGAACCTATGGCGAGCTCTACAGCACAAGAACATAGCATGATAAGAACAACTTTAACATCACATGTATTTATGTATGTCACTATGTAGCTACATTAATATGAACTATATATTGATATAATACACTTTACATGAATATAACACATAACTTTCGAAAAGCTAAATAGTGGCCAGAGAATCCCATTACTGTTTACGCTCCAGCAATATCATGTTACCATAATTTAAAAGATTGAATAGCAAGAGATAATATTGCAAAAAGCATGCGAGACATTTGGCAATTCAAAAGTAATTCATTTTTACCTGATAGCAAGAAGATAGTGAACGAGACAAGCAAATAGCATTTATCAAAACAGTCAAGTATTTTAAATGCTATAATTTACAATTTTCCGTAAACTCAATTCGCAACAGAAATAAAACTTGAAATCAATAGTTAGTCATGTACAAATAAACTCAATTCACTGATTTAATTATCTTAAATTTTTTTTAGTATTATATAGTCCTTCATCTTCCCATTAAATTTGAGTAAATTAATGTGACAATTTGAACAAATTCCCAATGTAAAAATGTGTTACCTGTCGAAAGACGAGAGTCTGAATCTTCTCTATCATAAGTTGCCATAGAAGCAGAAACAGAAGAACTTGATACATACTGGTTGTAACTTGACTGTACAGATTGAGACATATTCCAGGGTCCATGACGATCAGGAGATGTAGTTGTCGACTATGAGCATAGATAGACAAAAGTCAAAATCAAACAAATACAGAAATTTCTTTCATCTATACGTTTTCCTAATCAAGATAGAAAATATTAATGAATCTATATAGAAAAGAATGAAGTATCTGCAATCATCTTCTTATTCTAATACAGAGAATATGATTTTGGAAAAGTTCTGGTGTGGTAACGTTGGTACAATTACAAGATTAAATACAAAAGCTTCACAATGCCGAGAAATAAGCCATAAGCAGTCTTTATGTAGTTCCTGGCAAGCGCTTTACATAGATGCGATTAAATGTCACATACTGTATTTTTTATTATTTATCTTGTTTTCTATACAACTGGCACTGAAGGTGGGGAAGGTGAGTTTCCTAAAAAACACTACTGTAGCAAACTGACCAACAATAACGAACAACTTCCCTGAAACTGGGCAAAATGTAGTTATTGGGTCTATACTAATGTATTTAGCAATATTAAAATTTTGGAACAAAACAACTCACAGATGACGAAGATGAAACTGTTGTGTGATGTTGCTGATATTGATCTCCAGCTCTGTGATTAAATGATGAAGATCTTGGATGTTGAGAAGATCCAGGAGAACGATGTTGAGGAGAACTGGATAACAAAACAAGAGTCAAACTTGGAAAAATCAGCCAATATAATAGAAATGTTCGTAAGAACCTAGTAACCAGATGAGTGCATATCTCTAAACCTTGAGTTCCATTCACTTGGCATTAGAATCCCGAGCCGAGTTCTATGTCGATAGTGATTAGCATAAATAACACTTACAATAACACCACAAAGTTTCGAAACTACACAACATTGCAAGATAATAATATTCTGAAAATACGACTGACATTCAATCACATATTGATGTTATTTAATAGGGTGTCAAAACTGTTTATATTAGGTTACTGCCCTTGGATTTTTTTCACAATGAAAGATTGAGCAACATAGAGCTTCAGAAGAATTAAAGTTCATCTATAATCATCTTCTCATCATTTGGTACAGAAGACACCAGACACAAGTTTTTTAAAAAAATGAATAAAGTCTCCACAACAGTGATAATGACCGAAACCATATGAATATAAAGAAAAAATTGCCAGGAACACAAGTGAGTGCTCAAAACATTTATCACAAATATACTATAATCACCTTTCAGATCTTGATACATGTTGACTGTTAGAAGATGACTGTTGTTTGTACATTGGTCCCATCTTCGGTTCACTAGCCCCTCTTGTCACACTAGCACTAGTCTGTTGCTGCTGTTGTTGTTGTTGTCGCTGTGAATTTGGGTCAATTAGAGAAAATAGTTGAAAAAAACAGAATGGAGTAGAACGAAAGGTAGGAATGTTATATATTGGTAAGTAAAACAAATAACAATCTCAACCTGCGAGGCAAGTTTTTTTTATTACACTTAGCATCTCTCTATGACAAATTATACCACTGGTTAAATGCCAGGCAGATACTATCATAAAGAAACCAGTGAAGCAGTAATATCAAAATAAGTGCTTGCTTTGTATGACTTTCCATAGGAAACATAAAATAAATCACAATTATTACCTCCACCTGTTGAGAGTGTTATGTTTGATGATCATAGCACTGTTGTAAGCAAGTACATTATATTCTTGCTAGATATCCATGCATAAATTTATTGCAATTGTGATGGAATACGCATAAAAGCATGATACACATGACATATTATTATCTGTTTACAGCACATGCTAAGGCAGACTTACAATCAATACATTAATCTTAGGAACAAATGAAAGAACATAATCAAGCGTAATACAAAAAGACTAGCAACTAGTTCGAAACAAACAATGTATATGAATTTATACATGAAATGAATCGCCATGAGACAGGATATGTCATACAGCAGAAGTAAATTTGAAGAATAGCGCTTGTCTATAAGCTTTGAGAGTCTAAATTCCTGGCAAAATTTGTGGTTCGTTCATAATGTTTTTTCATAAAACAAACCAACTGAAAGCATACAGTCTGTAGTGATATCGGTGCAAGAATATTCACGGGTAGGGCAGTACTTCTAAACTGGATACCACAGCATAGCCATAAAAATGTAAGGCCAAAATATTAAGCATATCTTGTAGCATAAGAGTATACACCCTGAATAAAAGAGTGTAGTCTAAAAGTCTAGATGAGAAATTGTAAGGATATCAGTAAGTGATAGTATTTGTTGCTGAGAAAATGGGATTCATTTATTAACAACTATGAGGAAACATGCTTTCAATCACCGATCATGCATAGAAATATACAAGCATTTAGTGCAATACTTTGATCATAAATATTTGATTTTTCCATAGGGATCCAAAACGTACATACATACCGGTAAGTGTTTTTTAAATATTCAACATTATGTTAGCATAGTAAGTGATAAAATAAATTAAAATTTCATACATATTCAATTTTGAGAATAGTTTTCCATTTCTCTGATTTTTAAGCATTAAAACATGATATTACAAAAACTTGATAGTTGATACTAAAAAGAATTTTTGTTATGGGTTTTTTAATGCTAATTCATAAGAGAGAGAGCTGTGAGAAACCACGAAGGACCTCAAGAAATAAATAGAATCATACAATCCAACAACTATTTTTCAAGTTGATCTCAGGAAATATAAACTGACATCAGAAAAAAAGTAACCAGACTGTCAATTTATTGATAATGTGAAATTGCAAAAAATTATTCTTTTTTATAAATTCTAATATGATGATCGTATAAATTTGCAAAAGCAACATATTTCACAAACTTGACTAAAATATTCTAATAACTAATTTTCTCATTACAGACAGCACAGGACAAAAGGACAAATCATAATGCAGAAGTGAGAAATTTGATTGATGGTAAGCTTTATTCTAGCTTTGTTATTTTGGCTTGAAGAGTTTGAGAAGTATTAGAGAGTAGACACCATTAGGTAGGAAAAGAGAGAGAGTGATCTGAGCAGAATCAGTTGTGTGAGCCGTGTTGCGTCAAGCAAATACGTTCCGGCACAGCAAAACACCATTCATACCCGTAATTCGACCAAGGACGAATCCATGACGTCTGGTCCCAAGTGGTACACATGATTAAAGTTGGATGGGGTTGAAATCAAGTCATGGGTGTGCGACTGCGGCGGAGGCTGACAGACAAAGGGAAAAACGAATGAATTGAGAAGCAAAGATCAAGCTTGGCCTTGATTATACCATACTTGACAAAAGATATTTTTGAGTCAACATTGATGAATTGTGGGAAATATATCAATTACCCACAATTCAACACACAAGAGAATTTAAATTCAAAAGACCATAATGCAATTATACAAAATAATATATGTTACACATGAATTATTTTGATGAGCCTAGAAGCAGTGATGACCAAAATCAAAAATATACTACTCCAAATACATTGCTTTAAAAAATAGTTTCCTGAATCTAGAATATTAGCGAAACTTATATAGAGATCCATGAGACGATTATATAACTTGAATTAATTTGATAGTATTTCCGTATTCATGTTTTGGCCATCTCTGCTTTGTAGAATAAAAAGTACCAAACATATATTTATTATCATATCATATCCAACGAAAAACAGACATGTTTAGGAATGGTTGGATTATGACTAACGATAATCTTTAACAAACATTTCAGCCCTTGGTAAAAATCATGCTTTATTAGACAAATATATTGTACAATAACGAATGTATGTCCTTCTGGCAGGCAATACTACAATGATAATTTGCAATCAGGTGTATTGATTAAAAAAAGATTGAAAAAACTGAAAATACAAAATGACTGTAGCAAGTAGAAGACCAGTTATGTCAATCCCGTTGTATTGGAAATACAATGTACTATATACAACTGTCAAGCGATAATATATGCAATTTTAAGCAGTACTGTTTTACAGAACAATGAATTTCCAGGGGTTGTGGAATCTGAATTTGAGTCTAGCAAACTCAAGTGTCCATAACGGACAATTAAAGAAGACCTGCACACACATCTAAGATAATATGGCCAAAACTTGATTTCCCTGCTTTGAACTGAAATTTCATTCAATCTGACGTAAACAGCAAGACGTAAACCAAAAGTCTGAGCCATTTTTAATATCGTCTGGTACAAATTTCCTCGACTCTGCAGCCCAGTTCAGCAATTCGAAAACTTCAAATTTTTTACTTCAGATTGTTGGCACAAAAACTTTAAGGCAGCCATACATAACTAGTCAAACTAAGTCAAAATTGTGTCAGCCAGAAGTCAGAGCCAATTTTTAAATAGCTCGGGAGTATGGTGCCAATTTCCCCGCCTCCGCAGCCCTGGTCTTGTCTGTTCAGCATTTTGAAAACGCATATATTTTCTTTAGATTTTATACTTCAGATTGTTAGCACAGACACTTTAAGGCAACCATACAGAAATAATCTCAATAAGTTATCAACACAAAGTTAAATGAAATCATAAGAATACAATCATGAGAAGGCCTATCAATCCACAAACAGCATTCATGCAATATAACCTACCCCAGGTAAATCCTTCAGAATTTGCATTCCATCTCCTGGTCCCATGTGTGCAACATGGTTGAAGTTGGCTGGTGCAGAAATCAGTTGACTTCGACGTTCAGGATTTTTCAATAACTCACTATATTTTTCAGAGTCAAAATGATGAAAACAATGAAAAAGAGCTTGAAATTATATCTGAATACGTACATGAAGTTGGTATCTACAGAATGCTTCTTACAAATGAACTTGAAAAGTGCTGGGGAATGCGCAGAGAATTTAAGGTTGGTTTAAAAATTGAATTTTTTTGGCAGATACCGTACTTTTTTTAATTTTTGTAGTGACAATATGTATATATATGTCATGATATTTTTGATACTGTCATCTATTTATATTATTCAAATTCAAAATAAAAAAAAAGGAATTTCTGATTAAAAAGCATTTCAAGTATACAAAATTAGCCCTGATGTTTGCATAAATTTATAACAATTTGTAGAAACAAGTATTTGACTAAAATTTCCATGTTAAAATGGTTATAATGGCCTGATTCGAGAAATATATACAAGTACCAGTTTAGTACAGTAAGAATGAAATTTATCGTTTAGTATGGAATTCTAAGTCATTGCTTGCAATTATGTATAAGCCAAATGAGACAAAAACTCCACATTTGATATTGAAATTTCCCCAGGAATAATTCCAGGGAAATAGACTTACTTAACAACCAACTTATTCACATGTTTTGTTTTCTAGTTTGGTTGTCAAGAATCTTGACTCAAGATTATTCATGATAGTAAGTTTTTCTACTTAAAAACACATACTGTAAGTTATTTTATAATTTTCATTTATTCAAAATGCTACAAACACACAGATAAATTCTTACGTTCTCAGAGAGCTTCTCAACTCCTCAGGTGGTACCTTGAATGCAAATCGTCTTTTTGTCTTTCCTTTATAATATTGTCTCTTCCCAACGCTTGTCAATTCAGAAAGTTGAAGCTCGTCTCCTTCTGAAATTATAAAAGAAAAAAATTATTTGCCATTCTATAACAGGAAAGATGCAAAATAAAAACATACAAAGACAAAAAAGAGAAACAAGAGAGTAATGCTCAAATATACGGACATTAGGGTCAAATTTCAAATAAAAGTATTTCCACAAATCAAAATAAAACAGCAAAATTATTGATGAAATATCAAGTCCAATACGAGACAGAATTTTAGAAAATATACAAAAGTAATAGCTTTTGAGCAGCTTCAAGTTCAGAAAATTTGAAAACAGTTGATTCATTAGTGATTTTTTATCAGCAACCATTCCGTGAAAAAACATCTAGACATGTACACGTAGTGTCCAACAAATAAAAATGCATTTTCTCAAACTTTGAATGATCTGTTAAAGGATGCACATCTAATTTGGATTACACAAGATTCATGTAAACTATTATATTTGTAGGTTCCCAAAATAAATTACCTAATATATTTGATAGTATGATTTCAAGTGGTGAGCAAACACAAATCCCTGTAATTGACAGGATGTAAATCTTGATTCATATCCTGGGATGCAATTACAGCCGACATGCCACGAACACCACTTTAATTGGTGCGCAACATACATACCGTCATATTTATTTTTCATATACACAAGTTTAGGTGGATCCATAGAACAAGCAAGATTGAGTGCTCCATCTCTTGATAGCGGACGAACTTTTTTAAGTGGAATAGTTTGCAGCCATTCCATTTCCAAGATATCGAAAACATCGACTGCATTCTCGGAATAAACAATCAAGTATGGTGCATTGTATGCTATAAGGAAATGAATAAAGTAAAGATGTTATATAGAAATTGAGAATATATATTTGTGCACGAAGTTAGAGATGTCAAAAATGAATTGGATATTCGAATACATTTGAAATTGATGATTTTTGACATAGTGAATATGACTTTTCGAACAATAAAGGATATTCCATTTAAAGCATTTGAAATCTAATGGTTATATATAACATAGAATTTGTTTAATTTCTGAGACTGCGATAAATATTTTAACAATTATTACCAAATTCAATTTCCAGCAATTTACAATGATTTTTGTAAATTTCTCTGTTGAACATCAGCAAATTTAAAATATTTAATATTTGGAGATCAGAATGTATTCTAATTATAAGATATTCGATTTGAACCATATATGCAGCATATATTTCATAGTTGTTAAAATTATCCTAACTGATCGGACATTATAATAAATATCTGAAATAAGGTCTATTTAAGATGGTGAAGTTTATGGTAATAATATACTTTATTTTTCTTGCACCTCACATAGATTAAAACAAGATCAAATCCAATTTTCATTACTTACTTATAGCAGATGGTGGAGCAGGCCACATTAACTCCAGTTGTCTTGATCTCCTGCCTTGCCAGTCAGTATAAACCCCACAAGCTATGGAACAAAGAGGTTGAAAAAAATCATTTAAAACAATAAAATATCTAAGAAGTGAATTGTTTATAGAGCAGCTTGGAGAAAAGAGATAATTTAGGAGCTAGAATGTTTGAAGAATATAGCTTCAAATGCAATTAAGATTCAAAAATTCAAAAACAACTTTTTTTTAATAAATTATGTATTGAATATGAATGTAGCAAATGGTGTTGAAACAAAATCTAAAACATAGAATTGAAAGTAATAAAATATCAAATATATCTATATCAGATATATAGCATGCTGCATCATTAGACCATCTTGCTAATAGAATTGTTACTTACTTGAAAAGCAGAGAAGATATTCTTTATGGGTTATTTCGACAGCGCAGTATGTATCGACAGGTGGATTGGTTAAAAATGCTAGTGATTTGTCATCGCAACTCATCAGAGCTAAAATATTAACGGAAAAATAAAATATAAAATTACATTTATGCATATAAAAAAAATAAAGATTTTATCAAACACAATAAATTGATGATTCTATTATATTCAAACACGAGTATTTTTCCTAACAGCTATTACCAACAACAAAAATTGAATATTAATTGTAGAGAACAAAGTTAGATACATGTACTTGTAATTTCAAATCATAACATGAGAACCAATAACAAACTTGCATATCAATAGCTTTAACCCAAAAGGGAGAAACTTGAAAAAAAAAACGTTTTTAAAAATGAGGAAAATATATGCATTTTGACTTTTTAACATCTGTAACTTTATATTGAAATGCTTTGGTGTATATATATTAAGATGGCTTCAAACTATGGTTGGAAAACAAGCTCAAAAGGCAGCTTATACTTTGTAGTTTTTTTAATTAAAATTGTCAAAATTCACCCTTTTTACTTTTGAAACCCTTGTCAAGCTTTTCATTATCTAACGATGCATGGCTTTAAAGACAAAATCTAAAAACCAGTCAAATACATATTCCATACAGCATGCATGATTAATAGAGAAAGCCCTCTATCCAAAGCAAGACTTCATACCTGATTCTTAATAACAAGAAAAAATGTACTTACGGACAGGACTATTATCCCCTTGTATACTGAACAAAGCAAAACCAGAAACATATCCGGCACATAATCTCTCATTGAAAACAGCCATCCACTGTGCTGGATTGGGCAGCATGATGTCTTTCACTTTTTTATGACGAGTCTTCGTTGAATTCAACTCATACACGTTGACATGTCTAGATAAACAAGCAATAACTAAAGTACTTCTCTCTAAAGTACTATTTTTCTTCAAATCCCCAAACTTGTGGTTCCATAGACAAAAATAGAAACAATTTACCTCAAGAGATTCAAATTTGCACCAGAGGGCCAAAACCGGAAAATGTAATATATTACCAATAGATTCTGAAATAATATTTCTCATTATGAAATCAAATATATCAAAATGTAGTCTCTTTCAAAAAAGAACACATAGAGAGAAGTTGATGAATTTTCCATGAGTCTGGATTTGGTATTGCAGGATGGTTAAGATAAGCAATTTATTAATTGGGTTTCTATTTTTTAGTTTTCAAAAAGCAGAGGACCAGGTTTGAATTGCACCAATGTTGAGCTACCAAAAACAAAGATTCAAATATATTCAGTCAAGTGAAATAGTTGATTTTGGCCATCGCCGGTTATATTCAACCGGGAGAAAGATATATTTGTTAATCTATGCCAAATTGGTAATTTTTCAGTCTCTCAAAACATTGATGCTACTCGAGTATGACAAGGTATCTGGTGCTCAGCCTTCCGTACATTGATAATGGAAAAAGAAATTAAAAACTTACTTTTTCATTGCTACACAGAGACAGGATGTTGTTCCTTGTCTTACAGTTCCAGAACACAGAGCAGTACATGCTTTTGTGTCTTCTATTTTTATAGCTGTATCATCGTGCATTGATCCATCGAGAGCTCCCCATGTATGGAGTCTCACATGTTTGTTTCTTCCAGATATGACAGCAACCAATTGAGCTTTTGGTAAAACTTCAATGGCATGAACCTTCTTGGCATCTCCGACTTTGACAATTTCTGCGATGAAATGAATGAAAAATAAAATTGAATAGTTTTTTGACTCAATCCTGATTTCTAACATGTGAGCAGCTTTGAGAGATGATTTTTCAACAGAATTTCCCCAAAGACATGTGATGTGGACGTGCTCAGAAGGGTATTCCTGAGCAAGGATGCGGACGACCACTGAAACCCCGAGAGAAATTGAGATCTAATACAATACAGTAATATTTCTTTTAGATAATGTCAAAATGCATAGGAATCACATGTAAACACAACACAATATTTGATATGGCTATTTTGAATCTGTGGCCAAAAACAATGACAATCTTCTTCCACAAAAAAGCATGTAAATTTTGTGAAAAGAGAAGATATTATTCCTGTTTATAACATTTGTACTATCTCATTTCAGCACCCTTATAGCAAGTGCTACATGCGGATTCGAATGGGAGGCAAACAAGCAGAAGTTGTAGCTCAATACACAATATCCTAGTGTCCTCTGGCTCAGAATGAAAAGCATACGAGGGGCTGCTTAAAGACATGCTTAATAACGCAACAGGTTTTTAGGTACCTAGGGTCTCATCATACACTTTGGGCAAAGAAAGCTTGAACATCAGGCAAATGATAAGAGCAAGAACATGGAGCTACAGCAACAACATCATCAAATGTTTAGTCATGAACTTACCATCAGTACGCAGTTCAATTACATAGAGACCTTCCTCATTTCCGATAGCTATCCTGTCTCTGTCAATGATAGCTGCACTCATTGCAGACTTGACGATTGGTAATGTAGAATCGTAAGCTTCGAGAGGTTTAAATACTGATTTATCTTTGAGTTGATTTCTTCTTAAAACGCGATGAAGTTCAGAAAATGCTCCGATCCATTTATTCTTATCAGATTCTGTGTCGGCAAGCATAAGTACTTGAGTGCGAAGTTTGGGCCGAGACATACATGATGCAACAACCTAGAAATTGAGAAATTTTCAACATATGGAGCAAAATCGGCAGTCATAGAAAAATCTTTTTAAAACTTTACAAGTAGGCATATAATGTTAACAATAGAAAAATCTTGAATAAAAATAAAAAAAATGTTTACGCATAAAAATTAGTTAAGTTTGATAATTTTGTGACTAACAATTTATGACTAATTTTGGTCAATATGTACTATGTCAAATGAACCATACGGCATAGAAAATAGATGTATAATGATCTTCAGTCCGATTACAATTTCCAGTTAACAAGGAATAATATGAAATCAATCAACCAAAGCACTTTTTATCAGATATCCAGGCGAACAAGTACAATAAAATAAAAATAAGAAAATTAAAAAAATATATAATATCCTCATGCCATTCCATGGGGGTAAATGACCATTCGGTCTACCTGTCATCAGCTACGTAACTGACTGGTTGACTTACAAAAGGGTTATGAGCAGTAGCCCTCAATAAAAAGTTTCCACATAATACATACACTAAATATGCAAGGTATATCCTTCTTGTTAGCATGTATAACATCTGATTCCGTCACTGATTTGACTTCAAACTGTTCATCTCTCATATCAATGACTTGACTGACAATAACACTAGGTTGATGAGAACCAGGTTGTCCACCACCACCACTTCTATTTTCATTTAAATCGTAGAGAAAGAGCTGAAAATAATCATTGAATTCTTTTTAATTCGAAAAATTCTAATTTACCCAGTTATTGTGAACATTGAGTTAATAATTTTATTTTTATATGTAACAGAGAATGTTGTCATGCTGTACCGAGAACAATTTTCATGCTGAAGGTGAACTAAGCTGCGTGTTCACTCTTTACCATTCAACACACGACTTCAGGGAAACAAAACAACCAATCGAAATTTAACCAGAAATTTCGGTACTCCCGTTGTGTGTGTAGCAGGTTAGGGCTCAGCCATAAATTTATTCCGATTTTCCTTATTTTAGTTCTATTACGAGTTCGGGGACTGTCTGTTTTAACTAAGTGAATATACCCCTGCCCATAGGCTTCAGTCCCTTTACACAACTTGATGTAAAGAAGCATACAAAATTAGTTCTGGAGCGCCAAAATTTCAATCTATGACACCATTAGTGTAAGTGTAACAAATGAATGATAAACCTGCTCTTTAATAGGGATAACTAAAAAAATTCACATACCTTGAAATCACAGACGACTGCCAATTGTTTTATCCAACCTTTTCTAACTCCCATAGGCTTCGGTATTTTGACGAAACCTTCATAAGCAGTTCCAATTCCTCTCTGAGGATCAATACCTTTTGGTCTTTTAGCTGGTAAAAATAAGAATGCATGAGAAACTTCAACTTAGAATGTGTGGGATATTTATAATAAAAACAAAAGAGAATTCAAATTCTGAATTGAAGGTATTTTAAAGAATTAGCATAAACACGGTATCGAAAAGAAGTGTTCAGAGGAATTAAGTACAATACTATCCCGGGAAAGTATATTTCAAATATATAGTAAGTTTAACTGTTGTTGCAAATTTGCCAATTTCGAATTGAAATCCTGATTAATGTTAAATTTTATAACTATGCAAAATGTATATTCAAATGCATTTGAAATAGGATGTATTCAATATGGTAAATTTATGTATTTAAAAACAGTTCAGATAAGTTTTATTTGAGAATTTGTCACTTTCGGCGTTTATTATCTGATGCTAAGGACAAAAAATAGACTAAACTTCCGACAGTGCGAAATAGAAATTCAGTCAGAATCAATATTTCTACTAAATTTACCTTAAATTGTACAATTTGATCTGTTGAGCAGCAAGAATCATTTAGAATATATTATATTGTATTGTTTGATTTATTTTTAATCATTATTTATTTGAGTTTTCAACTTTATTTGATATATCTATAAGGGCTAAAACTATCGATAAATGTGCATAAGAGTAACCTGTATTATTTGTTATGGATTTTTAAAAAGAAAAGCATTCCTAAACAACCCATTATTTAGGGTCATGTCATCAAACCAAGATACTTACCATTGCCCCTTGGGAATAGGGACAAACTGCAGGCACAGCTTTTGAAGCAACAAAGAGACCATCGGCAAAGGAAAACTCACAACTTCCAACAACGTCCAAATTCACTTGTCTCATTTAATCCAACCACCAGTCAATGAGAACAGTGATTACATTTGGTTGGGCTGTAATCAAGAACAAGAAGATGCGTGAAAACAAGGCTTAGGTGATGAGTGACAGAGACGGTAATAGAATTCAAAGTCCCATGTTCTGTAACTCACAGATTCCCCAAAAAGCATGATTATACCGAGTCTTGCAGAGCTCAGTGGTTAAAAAAAGGTTGGTTCGATAACCCAAATTTCAAGATATCACAATGCTTTAGTCAAGTATCACTGAAGTCTCACCGCGCGATTAGTTTGAGTATGATATAAGTTACTCAATTAAAAATGTAGATGAGTCAAGTTTCTTCGATTCCTTTATAAATGGACACCTGAGTTCAACTCGAGTTGAGTTAATATCTTGTGTTTCCCCAATACTGGTCAAAAACAAATTCCTTCTGAATTAAAAAGTTCTGAGCCATTTGGAAAATCCAAGAAAGGTCATCTCACGTGCAACCAATCAAGAGAGGGAAACAATACAAGTGACCAGTGAAATGCATATGGTGCACATCACCTCATCCCATACAAATATGGTGGTGCATTACAGCAAGTAAACATCATTTAATTCAAGAATTCAAGCCAACATGATCAGGAAAACAGCTACCAGGTAATGAATTTCACATAAATCTTGAATCCAACCATGAGAACATTAAGTCACTTACCGTAGAAAATGTCTTCACAATGAAGGCATGAGCTTTCGGTTTAGGCACCTGTTGCTGAATTGGTTTGAAACTTGGAACTCGTCTGGTGGGAGATGAAGAAGAATGTGCTTTTGAGTTTTCAATTTCCTGCTAACGGAAAATTGCAAAGTGTTAAACTAAAAAATGAAGCCAAAAAATAAAATAAACAATTATGGTCCAGATAAGTTGAGTTAGGTATTATATGAAAATGGTGTCGACAAGTTATAACACGAGAATATCGGTCACAGACCGAAGACTTATCGATTGAAAGTTAGGGGATCCCTCAAAACAGCGCTCTTACTCCATAGTGACACCTTGTGTCCCATCACTAATTAATTAATAACTCGCTAATTATCCGGCATAATTCGCCCAAAATCAATAGGCTTCTCGTCCGAGATATGATGAATGCACATGCTAAATCTGGAGCAGATTTAATCTCACTTTCGTGAGATATCGCGTGCATCTAACAGACAAACGAACAGAGACAGACAGACAAATACCTATCAACATACTTACCGATTAAAATCGATAAGTAATAATACAAAGATTATTGTTTTTCCATGGAGCATTTATCAGCCTTTCTCTCCAAACAAGGCTCTGCACAACCAATCACTGATATGTAATGGGAGCGTGGTATTTGAACCCAAGATTTGAACTTGCAATGCTATGATATTTGAGTTCAATGCCTCAATCACAAAGCGACCGAACACCATACAAAATTATTTCCTTATTTTCATACTCTTCTGTAATTTTACGCAACAAGTTGAATCATTAGGAATCATCCTTTTCTTGGGTAAATGACAGAATTCAAAATCCATTAATTTCATTCAGGTCCATCCATTTAAACAATTACAAATGATAAAAGTGATATCGAATATAAAGACTGAACTATTTGATTTGTCATCTCAAAAGCAGTTGCAATATGTAACGTAACTGTCAATTCTGATATTAAGACAAACTGAACTAATACTTATCACTTTAAGTGAGTATAAGTAAGTTAACATTTTTAGTTTTTCTGTGGATTTTGATAGTGACAATTATGTTTTCAAAATATAGCCTTGTTCTATCATGCATTAAAATTTGAAAAACATTTATTATTCTATAATAAAAAATTTTGATGAAAAAAAAAATATTATAGTAAAATAAAATACTAAAAACTCTTACCTTAATACTACTAGAGTCTCTACTACGTTGTTCATAATGATTATTTTGACTGGATTCCTCACTTGTTATAGATGAATCCGACCTCATAGAGCCAGATTTATATCTTATTTGTGACCTTTGTTGTTGTTGTTGTTGGTTAGGGTCGTGTTGTTGACCTGATTTGATGGATTCAAGACGACCCAACTGGTTAAAATCGATATTAAAATCCATATCAGATTGTGTAGGTTCATAGTTGTCCACAATATGAGTAACAGGTGAGGGAGACGAGTCTTTGAGGAAGTTTAAAAACGAGAGTTGGGAGTGGCGACGATCTGATTCTGTGAGGAAAAAAAAAATTTATATCTTCAAGATTAAAATTAAAGTACTAATTCCTGAATAACTAATTAGTCAAAGTCAATTATGATGATCGAAGAAAAAATGGAGACTAACGTTTCTTTGATGTAGAATCATTCTTTTCTCGTAGATTTACGTTTTCATCTTTGAGCTCTTCTATTGTGATGTTGGCTTCTTGCAATTCGCTGCAATGCGGATATTATAGAAATGAAAAGTTATGTCGTGCACATCGTAGACGGCTCATGCAATATTGTAAAATTGTAACATTGTGTCTTATCTACTATACTCGCGAATGTTAAAAATAATTCGATGATAAGTATGACTGAGCTATGAGTGAACATGTTTACATGTTGAGCGAAAGAGGAAGGGGATAAGAGCATGTTAAAATTATAGCAAAACTTATTTTTTTATAAACAGTACCTGACCAAAATATGTTCTTATAGTCTCCCCAATGTAATCTTCGATGTAATTAAAATCATTGACAATCACCAAGATTACCGGTAATTTTTTTTTTGATTACTGGTGGCACAATACATGATAATTGTATAGTCCTGTAAAGGGGCAACAGTACATAAAATCATAGAATACTATTATTAATATCAACATTTGCGGAACAATAGTATACTAAATGTATAGCATATTTTCACTGATTTCCATACCTTTGATCAACCAAACACAGTTAACACGTTTACAGAATTCAAACTCATAACTAATCTGAATTCAAGTGATTCAGAAAATAAATTGATCAGTTAGGAATGTTTATACTTACTTTTCAATAACGAGATTACGTTCCTTAGCACGAGTCAATTCTTCTGATATCTTTGTTTGGCTTGAATTTCCGATTGTAGATTTGATTGCAATTCAAGAATTGCCTGGTATAAAGATAAAATAATATTATCATGGCATCAATAATAGTCTGAAGTGGATATGATTTTCATATTGACCCAGAGAGAAAGGAATGACAATATGGCAGCTTAATCCTACAGCACATCACGTTCTCTCGTCCGGTTAACAGTCTATATCGGGTATGAAAATAGTCGACCAGTTATTTGTTTCAGATGCAAGTACCATACCCAAACCACCCCCAGCGATCATCCCACACATATTTACACAGCCTCACAGGATAACAATAACGATATGCCAACCACTGAGTGGTTAATAAAATTTTCATCCTTTCAATATCAATGCACAATTGTACATGTTTATTCTACTTTTAGGACAAGTAAACTTTGCAGTTACCCAAACAATCTAGTAGCCAACCTGACCCAAAAGCCTCTCACGCTGTGACCAATTAGGTAGGCTGAACAACTGCAATAAAACAATCAATCTGACCCCAGCCATTCCTAAGAGCATGTTTGTGGAGGGGTTAGAGGTAGAGCAGGGTTGGGCAAAACAATTTTTTTTTTTAAATCAATAAATATCCATGTGTGCCAACCTTTGGAAGAGAGCAGTTTTTACAACAAAAAATCTTTTGGCGGACATATTCATAAGACATAGTAATAAAAATACCTGACGATCCACTTTTTGTCTTCTTTGTGCTTGCCATTTGTCCATGGTATTAGCTCTAGCACTGGTGCTTTTTAAAGTATCCAATTCTTCTGTCATTTTACCAGCTAACGCCTGCAGATATCCCCGAGCATCTTTTTCATCAGAAACCCTGAAAAAAGTAGAAAGTTGTTACATGGGCTTGACAAATGAAGCTATTTCAGTTTTGAATAAGAGTGAGAAAAATAGAAATTTTTCATTGAATTGAATATTTCAAATTTTTCAACGCATACCTAATAGTTCTAATCTACAGCCGTGGCCAGGATGCAGAGGGCCGAAATTCCCATTGGAGAATATCAAAAAATTGAAAGTTTTTTCTTGACTGGTTTGATAATAATAGTTAAACGTCAATGGAATATTTTCCTAGTTTTGGACATTATTGAATTGCCTAAGTCATATGCAAGTCACAAGGAGCAACGAACCATTGAATAATTTCAGCTATTTGAGCTTCCCATTGCTGAACGTCTTCTTTTCTTTCTTTGCCTTCTCGAATGTCTTCTTCCAATGCTTTAACGCTTTGTTGAGATTTCTCAAGTTCCGACGTTAGTCTTTCGACCTCAGCTTGTAACGATACAGCATTGTCAGATTCGAGTTTGATTTGTTTTTCATATTTCAACTTGACGTCTTTTATGGCTTCTTGCTGTTCAAGATTGCTGTGGTAAATGACAAAAGTTATATTGAAAGTGAGAAATTTTTGACATAGAGCAGGGATGTCCCAAAACAAATCTAATATTTGAATACCGAATTCCCATTAATTTACAATGACTTTTGTAAATGACCGAATTTAGTATTTCATATTGCTCATTCAAAAATATTATGTATTAAGAATGATGAGTCATTTGATTTCAGCTGAGCTGCCTATTTTCCCTGCAGAGGAGTTCCTAAAATTCAATTAGATAACTGCCGGTGACTAAAGATATTTTTACTTTAAACACTTTGTTTTTGTTAATCACATGATAGAATTAGGATTTTCTAATGGTGAAATGAAACCTTTCAGAAAAAAACTAATTAATATTACATTTCACAAAGTAAATATGGCATATAGGCTATTTACTTTATTTCATTTACTTCCACTCAAATTCCTTTAGATTATTCAAAGTAAAAACTAAAATTAATCAGTATGGGAAATTCTGAAATAGGGAAGTATTTGGATATGGCAGTCCCGATATTTACTTATTAAAAATACTGAAAACAAAACAAATATCAAATTCTATTGTGAATTTTATACATTCTTGTACACTGTAGGATTTAGAAATATTCTTAGAATAATTTCAAATAAGTTGTTTTCAATAACTTAATCGATATCACCATAAGGATAATAAACGGAGGCAATTTGAAATACTAGTCATTTGGAATTAATTGCGGGACAGTACGTGTGTAGTTTGCAGAATTTTACCAGGACACTGGTGCTTAAAAGCATTAACATTGTTGAAATCAAAGCTTTGAACCCTAGATCATTATTTGTAATTCCATAACCTTAGCATGTTTGGCAATATATTTTTTTCCATTTTCAAACTATCCACATAATCCAACTTACTTTTCTCTTCTCGTCTTTTCCACTTTATCTTTGAGAATCATAATTTCTCTTTGTAGAGCGACATGCTGACTTTCTGCCTCTAGGATTTTTACTTTGAGGTGTTTTATTTCAGATGCATGCATCGTGTCTTTTCGAGATAGTTCCTCGCGCTGAGTAACATCCGATCTCTCTGCATCTTGTCGTAATCTTGATACAGTCTCTTGAAGTTGCTGAATTTGTTGTTCATGAGAGGATGAAGGAACATCGGCTGAAAAATAACCAGGAATGTCAAATATAAAAAGAATGTTCTTGATGCATTTGCAATGGTAAATTCTTGATATTAGGAATAATTCGCCATAGATCATATTATTTCCAAAATATGTCCCACTAATAGATACTTGAGGGTTTGAGATTTTTGAAATGTACCTGGAGTTGTGATTGGGCCTACGCTACATGTCTATCGAAGGCAATGTCATAAATTCCAAATTGAAAAAAAGTTTTATGCTTGAAATTAAACCAAGGTTTGGAAGTTCAACTTGACAAGCTTATAAATAGACACAAGGATTAGTTTGGTCATTAAAACTTTTACTATATTAATACAAATCTATTTTATGACGTGGGCCAGGAATAATTTTGACACTAAAAATGGGCCACAAAAAATAAAGGTTGAGAACCACCACTTTCGAGCATTTGACACTTGAAAAAAGACTAAAATAGATTTTCCTTCACTTATATTTCATTGAATATACAATTTTTTGTGCAAGTTTCATTATTTGAACATGGCAAATTCAGAATATATTTCATTTTCTATGACGATGCCAAATTACTTAAATTAAAAATTGATGCTATATTTTATAAATTCAAAAGCATGGAATTACTAAGTTATTGAGTATAATCAAAATAATGTTGTTACAACAGATTTATTTCAATGATCTAAATTGAAAGTGATTTCAATAGACAAATCAAGAAAATTATACTTGTATGAAAGATTTTCTCACTTTGAAAAATTTTCAAATTGCACATACCAGCCATTGACTTTTGTTTTGACCTCAATTCTTCAATTTCCTCCTCAACTTGTCGAACTCTTGCATCACCCAATTCTCTCAGTTTAGTTTGTTTGAGGACTTCTGTTGTTTTCTGCTCTAGTTGGTCTTCCAGCTGTGATGAGTTTACAAGTCAAATTTACATTAAACCAGGTGTGGGCAACATTTTTCGTCGGATTGCCATATAACCATCATCAGAAATCTAACAGGACCATACAAAAAATTTACTTTTTCCATGTTACAACAACAATAAAAAATTCTTACGATACAAAATTTTATTTATTTAATAACATATTAGAGATACTTGCAATTTCAAGTTCTTACAACATTGTTAACAGAAGAAGAGAATGCAGCCATCGCTTAGCCATACAGTAATAAAGGCAGTAGGCAAAACAACAAAAGATTTAACGCAGCGACAAGAGCAAAAAATATTATGTATTTTTAGACATAAACTATCGGGTTGCGATTTTATGCTTCATGGGGTGACAAGGGCCACACTGAATGACTTGGTGGGCTGGGTTTGGGCCCTTGGTTGCCTGTTGCACACTTCTGCATTACACGAATCTCATAAATAGGCTCATTAATATGATTCTAAATTTCTGATAAGTTGATATTTCCTTTTGGGTACAATGTGAATCATTTTGATAAATTGCGTTTCAGTTTTCAACTGATTTCCTCAACTACTGGATCAATCAGTTTCTAATTTTCGGTAATTCAAATATTTCACCTCTACATTTTTTCATATTATCTATATGCTCCTTCGAAACCAAATTTAAACTTGAATTTTGCTTGTTTTCAAAAATTTCACTACAATTTACATCAATGAGTCTGTTGAGTGAGTGCTTCAATAAAGACAACACCTTAACACTAAAAAAAAAGAGGGCTAAAATAACCAAATACTCGCCCCAATTCTGAATTAGTTATATTCTATATATCGATTTCTCGATTCTAAGAAAATTTAGATGTAGTTCCATCTGAAAAATTAGCATTATAGGAAATTAAAGTAACCAAAGGCCTCATTTAATTTCTGAAAATAAAAAACTAAACAGCTAATCAAATAATTATTTCTTTTTCATTTTTATTACCTACTCTAGAATATATTTAAAACTTCAGATCAAAACAGAAGATTACTCTGTCTCATCAACCCCGCCCTGTAACTTCATATTTTAGTGCATTTTCTTGTCTTTTCAAAATCATTACTTACAGATGTTTTAGCTTTTTCAGATCTTCTTAAGTCTTGTTTAAATTGACTTGTAGCAGCTTCCAATTCTTCATCTTTTTCCCGAAGTTGTCGAGCCAATTTCTTTTTCTGAGTTCGTACGTCTGTTAACCTAATCAAAAATAAATATAAATAATTCCTGTGTGGTGCGGTTAAAGCGTTAATACTCAAATGTGTTGGCATCGCAGATCACACATCCGTGGCTAAAATCCCATGACTGCACCAGTGTGCCCAGTGTCCAATAAAATGGGTAGGCAAGGCCATACTGGAGAGATTAAATTTGAATAATAGAAGTTCCTTACAAATCATTAGATATGAGTGGATACTTGTATGGAACCTTGTTTGAAGCGGAAGACAGAAATAAGCATACATACTCAAAGTTAGATGGTAAGTTAGAAACAGGATGCCTAATCTCTTAGTGAGGGCAAGTATGAAAGCTTGATGATTATAAACTAGGTATCCCAAGTCCAACATATACAGGTATAAAGTAAATAGTAAACAAACAAGTATATCATCTCATCGACATTGAAAGATTTATAAATTCAAAGCTTGGTTTGCATATCCTGCTTTGGTTGAGTTGGAGCTAAACTCAATACAATACATAGTGCTGGAGCCAAAGCTACCGGGCATTTTATTGACTTCAGCACCTAAACATCTACCGGTAAATCCTTTTTCAAATTTATAATTTGAAAATTTAGAGTCTCAATCTTAAATTTGAATATGTACAATCGTAATTCCAAGTCCTGTTTTCACAAAACTGCATTTGGGCTGATGTTCATGGTTGTGATCATAACCGAAACACATCAATGACTATGGAGCTGGAGAACTGCTCCACATACAAAAAAGAAAGCCACAGAGCTGGGCTGAAGCCATTGAGATTTCAATCCAGCTTCCCAGACCTGTTTTTTTTTTTGTAATTGTTCTCAATAACATGAGTGGAATTGAGAATGTGTTTTTAGAGTCAAATCACATCAAAATTAGTACCATTGTGTAGAAAAGAATACAGTTTGAAACTGTGAATACTCATTTTACATGAGTACTCAAATCTTTTCAATTCTTAAATGTTCAATTACATTTTGCAAAAGATATACTCAGCCAATACCCCAGACCGACAGTTGAACAACTAAAATATCCCTCTGCTTAATATCTTTATTACCTTTCATTAATTTCAGTAAACTCTTCCATAGCCAATTTCCTCTGAGCATGAGTATCTTTGAGTTGTCGACCTTGCTCTCTCGCTCTCTCTTTGACTTCAACTAGATCTCTGTGAGTGTCATCCCGTTCTTGTTTGAGATGTCGTTGCTGACGTTCTAAAGCCTTTACTTTCTGGTGAGCATCTAATTAAAAGGTTTTTTATAAATGCACTACATATGTACTGATAGTGGCAAATGTCATAATGTCAAAAACACTATGGAACATTATATTATAAATCATTCTTTGAATAAAATTTGAATTTTAAAGGCAAATTTCAAGTGAGAAGTTATATTTCATTTTTCAGAGGATTAACTTCGCTGAAAGCAAGGTCACACACTCAATCAAAATGGAAGGACCAACCAACTCTGAGCAAAGTTACAGACAACTGACGTGCCATTGGATTCTAAAAATAAGTACGGTAGATTTATGGTGAGGCATTATATGCAGCTAATACCACAATATAAAAATTTTTACTTATATGTCAAATTTCACTTATTTGATAACAGAGGGCTAATCCTTACTACCTTATTCCTTCAAAATGATATTTAGAATATTTTTATGTTGTTGAGAGTGTTTGCCTCAACTGACCTCAATAATGTTGAATATAAATAAATACTACAATACCTTCCAAATCTCTCCGTAATACATCAGCAGCTTGTAATTCTTGATCAGCTGCATTTAATTTTTTATGTAATAAATTTATTTCATCTTTCAATTTCTTCGATTCATCTTCTCTTCCACTCTGTGCCAGTTGATCATGTTCAACCTTTGTGCTGGCATTGTGATTGTTTTTCGCTGATTCTGTATTCAATGTTAACATAATTAAAATGAAAGCTAAACTCCGCAAGATCAAGATTTAAATAGTTTTAAGCTGACTTCTGTAAAGAAGCAAAAAATATGATCACAACAAAATGTGACAGCCAAATCACTTTTCACCCGTCGATGCTTTTTTAAAACGATTTTGATCAAGAAATTTTTTTAACAGAAACATCATGTAACCTCATTTAGATGTAAAGAGTATTGATTTCTGAGCAATGTTACGGATGACCACTAAAGTGTCAAGAGCTTCTGAAACGATAACAAACTATAGTGTTTTTGAATTTGGTTTGGGAGAGGGTTGTGCAACATTTTTAGTCGATGGACCATATTATAACCTACTTCAGAAATCTATCTGGACCACAAAAAAAATAGTTTTTCCATGTGCACAACTAATTAAAAAATTAGCGACAACAGCGCCACAGGAAAAGCAAGAGAAGAGAATGCGGCTATCGCTTAGCCTTACAGTAATAAAGGCAGCAGGAAAAACGGCGAAAGATTTAACACGCATGGACAAGAGCAAAAAAAACGTTCATATACTCCTGTGATCGCATTCTTAAACATAAACTTCTGGATCAGAAAAAATCCGAGTGTCGACAAGGGCCACAATAAATGGCTTGGTGGCCCGGGTTGTGTATTTGAATGAGGTCAAATAAATCTTCCACATATCATACCAGCTAATTTTCTTTCAAGATTCAATTTTTCCTGTTCAAGTCTGTGCACTTTTCTTTCAAGTGAATGAGTTGATGCATTGCTTATTTTTTCATTCGTATCTCCTGCTGCACCGTTGTCAATTCGAGATCTTTTGCTGATGGAACCACATGAAGCATCTGACAGAGATCTGTTAAATTCGACATATATAATAATTTTTGTCACATGCTTCCAGAGACAGACAGGACAGAATAAATACTAAAATAACTCTTTTTAATATGAAATTTTGAAAACACTGGGTCAACAACACATACAATGCATATTCAATGAGTTTGTTTTATAAAAAATATTCTAAATACATAGTAATTTGGTTTACTATTTTTTAAAGCTTTGGAAATTAAAAAGGGTTTAGTAATACTAGGAGACATCATATAGCTCAAAAGAAAAAGTTTCATATAAATCCATATTTCATTTGCTTCATAAAACTCATAAAACTGAGAATTTGAAAATTGAATATATATTTAATTTCAAATTGATAAGAATATTCAATTTATTTTGGACATTGTCCTCAGCCTCATGCAATTGCTTCAACAAGGCTGCAAGAATTGGGCACTGACATATTTTTTAGAGCTGGTATAAAGTACAAAACAGCACAGTATCTCATTACTTCAAAAATAAGACCATTGAACCATTCTTTGAGCATATTGAGCGAGCCACTGCCCACTGGTAAACTTATCAGAGTCCAAATCTGTTTGATTACAATACAAGGTTATGATAATAGAGGCTTTGTACCATTTTCAGGGTTGTCCAAAACGAATCGAATATATGAATGTATTCGAATATCAAAGTATTCGAATACATTTTCGGCTGATTTTTGAATAATTCCGAATAATAGCCACTTTTTGCGGTAAACGTGGTGTTTCGTTTTACGGGAATCTTTAAACGACTTTTTACGCTGTCTCACGTAATAACGATGAAATAGAATCGGCACTTTGATTGTTTATATTCTGTGCGACCGTACCTCGCATAGTGTTGCGACACATTTGCACGTTTGCGTGGGTGGACATTGCCGACATTCGTGTACGAGGCTTTTAATTTACAAATTCATTTCCATTACGTCGAAAAATTGAGAAAGTATTTTATTTTATTTCTATGTGGCCTGCTTATTATTCGCATGAGTCTTCTCAAGCATGATTTGTGTAACCTTATATTTGGGTCTTAGGGTCTGCCAATCATGATATTTAATCGCAGGCTGGTTATCGTTACTTTAAAGAGAAACACGGCCACCAAGATAAAGTGATTTGTGACCCTTTCGTTTTGCCGATTCAGCAAACACGACAGGGACAGGAAAACACAGCTGTGAAATAACCCGTGGACGTACAGTGTAGTACTTATCACATTCCAAAATTATTTCAACATTCGGGTTAATAGGTTGTCCAAAATGATTGCCGCTTTACAACTTAAATTTACCGCTCAATTGTTAAAAATAGTTAATTCTGTGAGTATGATTCTACCAAACTAACATGATCTGGTTCTAAACATATAACATTATTAGCGAATTTTTCTACCCGTCTTATTGGAGGCCTATATGGAAAAATCCCTTTTTTGAGTGCTAAAAATAGACATCGTCCTATTTGCCATGTGGACTTATTAGCCGGGAAATACGGTACGATATCCAATAAATTGTCACAAGTTGGAAAAACAAGTCGATTTATTAGAAAATAATTTCTGGCAAATAATTCTGATAACGATAGTTAAAAGTATCGATCCTTTACCAGGATGATTTTTTGTTGCGCAAAATAATCCAATCCATGACTGGTACCAGCATTTAAAATGTCATGCCGTATTAATTTAATTCTGTTCAACGTAACTCATGGTTGTATCGACAATCTGTGGACATAAAATGTGTAGTAAACTGACCGATATTATTAAATATTGATTCCTATTTTTATATTGATAAAATAATGAAAGTATTAATGCCAAATACAACGGGTATTTGTGGACATGAAATACGTGGTAAACTGCCCAATTATAATTAATTTCGGATTCGTGTTTACAAAATAATAAAACTAATAATTCTAAAATGCAACGGCGATCTGTGGCCTTCAAATGTGTGGTAAACTGCCCGATTTACCAACATTTGAGTTATGATAATAGAATTAAATTAACGGTAAGGCATTTTAAGTAGTGGTATCGGTCATGGATTCGAATATTTTGCGCAACAAAATCATCCTAGTAAAAAGTCCATACTTTTAAATACAAACCAATGGCAACCATTATCAAATTAGTTCCCAAGAGCGGGATAAAATATAAATTCTTTTTCGACTTGTGACAATTTTTCGTGAGTACGAAAATAAGAATCAAAACTAATTATATTCGGCCCAATATCACGGCAATCTGTGGACATAAATTGTGTGGCAAACTCGCGATTAATATTAACTTTTGATTCCTATTTTCGTATTTACAAAATACAACGGCGATCTGTGGACTTACAATGTGTGGTAAACTACCCGATTATAAATAGTTTTTGATTCCTATTTTCATATTGATGAAATAATAAAAGTATTATTACTCAAACATACAACGGCGATCTGCGGACTTAAAATGTGTGGTAAAGTTCCCGAATATAATTAATGTTTGATTTGTATTTTTGTACTAACAAAAAAATTGTCACAAGTCGGAAAAATACCTCATACTTTATCCCGCTTTTCGACAAATAATTTGGATAATGGTTGGTATTTAAAAGTATGGGCGTTTAACTAGGATGATTTGATGTTGTGCAAATATTCAAATCCATCATCGATACCACTATTGTTGTATTAATTTAATTCTGTTAACATGACTCATGGTATAAAAAATTCAATATTCTGCAAATATGAAACGCCTGGTAATATGCTAGGTTGTAACTTGTAGATATCAGTTATTCCATTGCTTATTGTATGGAAATTCCTACATGCATTTAGATAAGCTTCGAAGTATTCGAAATTTCATATTCGGAAAAAATAATTTCGAATGTATTCGAAATAGTGAACTATTCGGTATTGGCCATCCCTGAGTCCATTTTTACTTGAATCTGTACGATAACCCCCTAAGCATATTACAGCCTATTCCAATTATATTCCAAAAAGTGAACAATAGTAATATATATTTGATATATTTGATCTCATCAACACGTATTGCGGTAAGCATGTTTGATTTGAAGGTCAATATTGAAATTATTTAAGTCGTTTTAGATAATGCTTAGCATTAGATAATATACATCAGTCTGAAATAAGAGATCAATGTATTCTCAATGCATGTAAAATTGTATAATATTTGGCTTGCTACCTCTTATAGCACTAGCTTGTATTCAAAGAGTCACTTTGATTATTATTTTGTGGAGGGGTTTTGCTGAATTGATCTAAGTATTGTTGCTAACTTGTGTTAACTAGTAAATAATTAAAATACTACCATTTTTCATTTATTTCAAATTTTTCCCATCAGAGCTTGTTATTTTATCAAAATTTTGCTATTTTTGTGAATATGGTGCAATCATGTTGCAGAATGTCAGACCAGTTCATCATCTTATCAAAAAACTCAAAGTACTCAGTTAAAGGACTAATGGTACCAGTGTAAATGTCTATGACAGCAGGCCTGATTTCCAATCTGGATTTTAAGAAATTGAATATTCAGATTCAGCGGTGCTGTCAGAGTTCGTCCCAGACCCCCTCTTTTGAAATTTCAATAGTTGCAAGTTGTTAATAGCTTGTGCGATGTTCACAGGACTGATTTTGTTATAATCACCACGACCAGCAGTAGTGCCAATTGGTCATTTAACCTTCATGCTCATAAATTTCAGTTTTTCTCTCATAACATAAGAAAACAAAATTGAAACAATGTTTCCAAATACTCACGAATTTGATGTGTAAGTAAATCCGATAAAAGGTAAATGGTGACCAGAAAAAGCTCCCATAGATGAATTTGGAGGGGCTGCATCGCTAGAATGTTTTGAGTCCATGTCATCGACATCGAAATTTGATGTATCTGTGGGTGACGAATACTCAGGTATATAAGGTGGTGTCATGGTGGTTAGATTCTCCCAATCAATACCAGTAAAGAATGGATGATCCCGAAAATCCTCAGTTCCCCTTTGACCGAGTCTATCTTTGCTGTCACATACTAAGCTGTTAATAAACATTTGAGACGTATTTTAGAGTTTAAAATTCCCCTGAAATAATCTAGATAAAAATAAATTCAAATATGTTGTTCTTGGGTGAATCGTTGTTGTGTTGACTAAGTGTTGTTGTTGACTTGTGTTAACTAGTAGTTAAAACGCTACTATTTTTATTTTTTTTAATTTCTTTCATCAGAGCTTATTATTTTATCAAAATTTTGCTATTTTTTTGAATAATGCACAATCATGTTGCATAATGTCAGACCACTTCATCATCTTATTGAAAAACTCATTACTCAGTCGAAGGACTAAGGGTACCAGTGTGAATTTTAATGACAGTGGGGTCTGATTTGCAATTTTGATTTGAAGAATTTGAATATTCAGATAACGGACTGAAATATTGAAATGAAATATTATGAATTTTTTCAATTTTACACTGAACTATTTTTGCTAAAGGTCCGTATACAAAACTTGAAAATTCCCGGGGTCCACACTGACCAGAAAATGTATTTCATACTGCGCCTAACTATATTTTAGTGACTCTATCTTTTCGATTGAAAAGTTAATAAGGAAACGCAAGTTGTGGAAAACTGAGTAACCGCAAAATATTTCACATCCTTCTACATATCCAAAGTTAAATGGAGACAATCCTCCAAAACAAAAATCAGACACGGTTCGAATCGAAAACTTGAAAAGTCCGGATTTGGACCGAGGTCCACCAGTTGAGTAGCCCTGTACTATACTGACCTGCTCATCAAACTCTTTGCTGCATCAGAAACTTCACGATTATAGGCGCCAGAAGGAAATCGAAATTTTTCCTGCAGAACAAGAAGATATTTATCAATTTTCATAAGATTTCTCACAAACTTTCAGACGAGTGGATATCACAACATCATTCCAACAAAAAAATAATACATAATTACCTTATGTGTCATAATTTTTCCATATGTTTCGACAAGCGATTCTGCATAGAAAGGAGTTTCTCCATATAACATTTCGTACATACAAACGCCGAGAGACCACCAGTCACATTCTGGTCCATATCGGCCCTTTCCATCTTCCATAGCTTGCAGGATCTCCGGTGAAATGTAGTCAGGAGTCCCAACAGCTATGTTGGATTGAACCTGTGTATAGAAAAAATCTAGAATTAATAAACTGTGCCCTACATGTGAGTAAAAATTCCAATGCAAGAAATATGAAAATATAGATAGTCAGGTCCCTGGTAATTAATAAACTGGGCTGTCAGTATATTGTCATCATAACGCTGATGACAAAATCAGGACAAGATTCAAGTCACTGGTTGGCAATGATTTCTGTCTTCATTAAAGAAGTGATGAATGAATCTTTCTCAAAGCTTAAAAATTGAGGTTACTAATAAGAACATAACAAAACTGAATTATACATTTTGGAATATTAGTAAATAAATTTGCGTCGTGTTCAACAAATTACAAATAGAATTCAGTATATATTTGATGAGAGTTTAAAATGTACAGTGATTTGATTAATTAGTTCTCTTTTGTTCACATCTTTTCGGGAATTTTGTTCAAGCAGTGAGATTCCATTTGCAGCCAATGATAATATTTCACATAAAATTAAAATCACAAATTTTGAAAATACCGTAATTAAATATTCAATTTGTTTTGGACACCCATGAGTACACCGAAGTGTTTCTATATAATTAGGGTAAGCTTTAATAAAAATGGTTACGAATGAATCACCAGCCACAATACATTATAGATAGTATACTGGTAACCTATGCATTGACCGCTTGATTGGGGTAACTCGAGTGTAGGATAAATAATAATTCAATAAATAATATTGACGTCAATGAAAATATCAACACGAAAGGTCGTAAGATTGAACCAATAAACGACTTTACTAATGTAGTGATCTCTTATTAAGCTTGATTAAGTATGGTGAAAACAACACTACATTTAAGAAATAAGAGTGAGAATGCGTCATGGGAGTTATAAAAACTGGCCAATTTCTTTGCACATGACATTCTGCATCTCGAGGGAGAACAAAACAACATGTCACCTAACGGCAATACTGATTTAAGAAGCTTTATTTGCTTTAGGTAGCACCTGTCGCCAAGTGCATCTGTCTAATTATGAAAGCACAAAGAGGGATGTTCAGTTCAATAATTTTATCATAAAATCAAAAATTACATACATGATAGAACAGTGTGATTGCTAAAAGTGTTGAAAAATAAATTTACATTTAATTCTCATTATACTGAAATTGGCATATATTGATCCCAGTAAGATAATAGGTTGAGTATGAGCCAACTATTCAATCCACATAAAACCAACAATGTTTGGAAATCAAGGGTCGATAAGAACAATATGAACTTGAAGGTATACAAATAGAGAATCGCAGTATCATTAGTCACAATCTCGATCAGGAAATATTAAAATACATGTTTGGAGGAAATTATATCAAGAAGGTAACATAAAATAGATATGACATCATCGTTTTCAAAACAGTATCATTTTATGCAACCAATACTATAATAATAAGATAAACTACCATTTATATTGGAACCAAAGTTGGCAATTGACAAGAGCAAAATATAATGCACTCAGGGCAAAAATCCAAATATCAATCCTTATTAAGTATATTACAGCTTTGAAAGTGTTGATCGAGTATGTTATATAAACTAATGCTAGAAAGTAGTAAAAATATCAGTTATTTTGTTTCAACTTACAGTGCCATCCGGTAATAATCGTAAACATGAACCAAAGTCGGCAAGACGAATATGACCGTTGACATCGAGTAGTACATTGTCAGGTTTGATGTCTCTGAAGTGAATAATAGTTTGGTTCAGATATTTTGAACTCCATAAATTTGTTATAATGACAATTGCAAAATGGTACTGGTGAAATTATTAAATATAACAGAAAACACAACATTATTGTTACAAATCGCCAATAAAACAAAATGATCAAATGTTATATTTTTTGAAAAATATTATGATTATGAATTCACGAAATACAAATCATATCCAATATGAAAGAAATCCTGATCTTTCGATTTTTTAAATTACAAAATACTTGAAAAATTAATGTTTAATTTGTGACAATTCCACAATGTTACGTTTCCCATATGCCACAAAAATTATCCGTGTTATTTTGGTACAAACAAAATTGAAACCAGTATGAAAGCATGTATAAGAACGATCCCAGATCAATAACATGTATTAACCAAAAAAGGGCAATCAATGAACTCAACAACAAATGTTTTAATTCTTCTGTTTTGAGAATTTCATTGATAAACCTCGAGTCGATATGGTGCACAATCAAAATGTGCAACATAATGACTGTGTTCTATCTAACAGGTCACAGACTTGATTGATAAAGGCGGCAAACGAATGAATATGGAGTAGGCAAACATGACTGAATGTTATACAATGACATCATACTACCGGTACAATTCATCCTGTCTAAAAATATGTCGTTAAGTTAATTTGAGATTTGGTCAATATTTGCTATATTCAATAAATTAAGCTTGAATAAAATATGAATTTCACAATAGAATTGTGGAATTTTACTATCGCTAATATATTTTTAAATTTTTAAAATGAAGTTTTTGTCACATTTAGTATTAACATCCAAAAAGAAACATTTTCACAAAAAAAAAATATATTTCCTTACCAGGCTATAATGTAATATTTCTACCTTCCTATGTTCGGAAAAATAAAACTGAATCCTAACATAAAAATATCACATTTTCCTCATTCCTAATTTTCTACACAACGACTGTTGTCTAAATTCAAATTTGCAGCAAATTTCAAGTATCAAATGAGGTTATTAAAAACAAATATTTAAACATCCTAACTACAATAGTTTGCTTAATTGAAGAAATGTGAATAAGAAACATGCTTCGCCTGGACAGATTCGTTCAATGCTTGAATGTAAATCAAGCGACTAATTATTTTTCAAGAATGTTGACTCACTTTTGATATGCCGATAAGTTGCAGCCTTAAAAGTTTTTTAATTATCAAGTTTCATATTTGTTTTCTGAGATGAATTAATAGTCTCAGCATCATTTTGCTTCTTTTTAATTCTGACTGTAATAATATTGTTGATTACATACAAAAATTAACTAAATTATACGAGGAAAATCATACCTATGAACATATTGAAGTTTATGTATTGAATCTATAGCTAGCACCATTTCAGCAATATAAAATCTTGCCATATCTTCAGGTAGCCCTTCTTCAAATTTGCTTAGAAGTGTAAGAAGATCACCACCGACGTAATAGTCCATAACAAGATACTGTAAAAAAAGGTAGAGCTTAGTTCCATGTTTACAACCCGGGGAAGAATTTTGCATGTATTTTCTGTAGTAGCCTATTCCTAATATTCTTTAGTTCTTTATTATTATTTATTTATGCAAACATTATTACCTACTGTACAAAAGCTGGGGTGAGACTTGCGCATGACACTAGCTAAGGATCTATTTAAGATATAAGACAAGAGTTTTTATACGCAAAGTGAGGGATGAATAAAGAGTTTTAAAATAAGCAAAGGCCTTTTGACACCTTTTTCCTGATAGCAAAATCAATATTAAGTGTTTTTTAAATTTAGAGAACCACAATATAGAATTTTTATGAGAGGAAAAGGATATTAAAAAATTATCATAACTGTAAAATTTTTTTTTTTTTTACATAAATTTATCTACAGTCATTAATTTTCACTCCAGATATCAGTAATATAAAAAATGTGCAAAAACGGTTTATATTCAACAATTTTCACCACAGATTAGAATATTTATATTTTAAAAATAGTCATGGGCGGCATGGTAGAACAAATTTCAATGGGCAAAAAATTTACATTTTTCCAGAATATGCTCGTAGTTGTGACTAATGTTGTAATAAAATGACCCATATCGAGTTGATTCACTATTTAGGTTTGGTCATATTAGAGTTATTTCCTGAGAGGTGTAAAAATAAAACATCTTGAAACAGAAAGCTGGTATTGATGTTATTTTTAAAATGACTAAGCTGAATGACTGTACATTTAAACTATTTTATTCTCCAATAAAAGACATGGATATCATCTACCTAAAAATATATAACAGTTACGATAAATAATGAACAGGTTGTCCTGGCTCACAAAAAGTACCCAAAAAAATCAACCTATAAACCCAAAATTCCTAATTTCTTATAGAATTCTAATTTATTTAATACTTTCTATTCTAAAACCTAGGGTTCTTTGCTCAAAATTTATGTTCCAAAGTTTTATCTTTGAGGTCATCCTGAATTCAATCACATGCATTAGTGGTTAAATCAGACTTGTGATCTAGAGTGTGAATTTTAGACATATTTTCTGAGATTTAGGTCCTCTAATATTTTTATTGCATTTAAATCAGAATTCATAACTTGCAAATGCAAAAAGTTTCAATTACACATGAAGTTTTTGAAAATATATTTTCTGTATAATTAATAAGTAAAAAACAGCCGCGAGTGGATTTCATAATTGCACCTAATTTTTTGATATCACTGTTAACTTCAGAAACATAGTCAAAATTACAAAAATAACACTGATAACGCAGTATGTGAAGTACGGTGATATTATACTCAAACTAACTGATGCTTTTTGTTGTCATATTTTACACAAATTCTGTTAATGACAATCCAGAATAGAGCCCTTGTATTAAGTTTGGTCGCATGAAATCCGATTAGAATATTTTGGCAAGAAAACCGCAGGTGAAAATACATAGGACATCAATTGTGTTTCTTAAACCATATAAATGGCTGATGGCTATCTATCACACATCTACGTCACACAATGTTAACAATTCATGTTACATAAAAACAGCAAAAGAAGCCAAATAATATAAATAGTTGGATATTCTGGATTCTTTTTATGGGCCATTCCAAGCAAATGTTGAATTTCATCAATTTTTTAAAAAGTGCAGTAAAAGTAATTGTTTTGGAATTTTTATATCAAAAGACACTTGGATTTTATTAGACTGCTTTGTTGTGATAGAATAAGTTAAAATTTCACCCAGGTTTTTGATGGTTTACACAAAATGGCCTGAAATGTAGAAATTTTGATATAATTGACATTTTTTGTGGTAACTCGTAACAAAAAGTGTTTGATTGTTTGGTACAGTCATTTCAATTTAAAAAGATGTGCACACTGAACTTAAGTTAATAAAGATGAATCATGTCCTAATAACAACATACTTTGTGTTTTATGCTTGATAAGATACTGGCAGATGAAATGCAAAAGTTCTAATATGTCATACCAAATTATTATCATCTTGAAAAGCATAGTGAAGCTTCGTAATCCAGTTTGTATTTCCATGTACCAATACATCTCGTTCTTCTCGAAAACATGCTGTTTCAGCCCGCTTTAACATTTCCCATTTGTTCAATATTTTCATGGCATAAACATCATCTGTATTTCTCATTTTGACAACGGCAACCTTCAAATATGAATGTTACTAAGTTGACCAAGAGAACATGATAAAATGAAAAAAGCCTGAACTAACAAAATTGACAACAACTGCTCTAAATCAATACATAGTATTTCAAAAACAATAAAAAATTATAAAATTTGATAGTTGTTATTTTAGGGGTCATCAGGAAAAATCTGCCAATGCGGCATAAAGATCAGCTGGGACCTGGGATATAGAAACTGTGTGGGTCATTAATCATTCTTCTTATCAGCAGGTGGGCACAAGGAAATAGAAAATCTCAGACAGAAACTGAAACTATTTGGTACATAATCATACATTTCAAACCAAGAGATTTTGTAGCTATTTGTAATATATCATTTTTTTTAAGGGAGAACCTCAATTGAAATCATTATAAAAAAGAAATTTTAGATCAGAGAAAAATAATGCTAAGGATCAAAGTATGATGAATTTGAACAAAATCGAATTAAAATAAGTGATTAACTATGCAATGCATCCTATTTATTGAAGCCATTCAGAAATCCTGATTAGCAAAATGCTCATTAAAATCAAAGATGAATTGAATCAAAGATGGCCACAGGGTGGATTAAACTTCAAAGCCAGCCCTGAGGCAAAGTCCTACAGGCCTATTCAAAACGATGTTTAAAATATATCCCATCAACTGTTACCAAACTAAAACACAAATGGGAAAACACAACTACAGAACCAATGTCATATGTTCAAGACTACTGATGTGTATTTCCTTATTGTGATAGATTAGATCAAAGAATTACGGAAGAACTTTTGATATAGTGAATCATCATGCTTGGCTGAGCATAAGCACATAAGAAAAATTTAGTGACACAGTAAATAGTAAACTACTCTACCTCTCCAAATGCTCCTCTTCCAATTACTTTCAAGAAATCGAAGTCGTCTTTGTGCAATCTCGTTTCTTTTATTCTTGATGTGAAAGGTTTTGCTTGAAGAGAAAACGTTACATAGTATGTTATTAGTAGTGAGGTACTGTTACAAAGGACCACCATTGTTGAAAATGCTTTCTGGGCCAGCACTGCTGAGAGTATTTAATAACTATTTAACAAATGTTGCCATGTGGATGACCAGATAAGTGCAGTTGGAACCAATGTAATTCAATAATTGGCATGAAATGGACATAATTATGAATCATATCAATACTAATAAAGTAAAAAAAATTATCAATAAAATCTGACAATTTAAAATGGTTAATAAATTCAAATTTTTTTTATGTATTTATAAGTAATGAATCAAGCAGTTAACAAGAGAACTTTAAAAAAGCTATTATGAAATAACAATATAACTAAGATTCTAGAAGTATTAAATGGTGGAATATATTTATGCTATTTCTCCTATCATTGATTAAAACAAGCTTGTGAATATGGATATCTCTATAACTCACTAAACAAACATGATAATACCACTAATGGCCCGAGATTAATTGAAAAAATCTTGGGATATTTTAAAAGTAAGTAGGCCTCAAAAAGAATAACAGCGAAAAAGCATCCATAAAATCATAAACTGTACTTCTTTTGAAGTTAATGAAAAATTATACCAAAATATGAAGCAGCTTACCCCATTCTATGAAATCGATAACACTTTTTTCTCTTCTTAACGTGGAGTTACCACATTCGTCATATAATACTATAAGTATATCCAGCAGTGTTTCTACACTCAACCACTGTGGACTCCATGGACCATCCAGGATGAATCTGTTAAACACCTCCTATTTAAGAAACTGTTGTTGAATGTTTCTATGCCGAGCATAAGAGCCAGCAAAAATTATTCTGAGTTTTAAAAAAACAAATTACGATAAAGAACGGAAGAATGAATCACATAAAATGTAAGACTAAATAAATATTCATCATTAAGGGATGGAAATTTCAGCAAAAATGCTTTGGACCAATGTTCCCTCTAAGCTGCGCAGCTGGCCGAGAATCCCCGCGCAGTACTTTCGTTCTGCCGCGCACTGCATAAGTATTAAAATGTTGTGTTCTTTTCTATTTTTCCCCGCAGACCTTTTTTAGGAGCTCACATGGTCTTCAATTCCGCGCAACTAAGCAAGTTCTTAGAGGGAACGTTGCTTTGGACCACCAGCTAACCATACAAATTGACCATTGACACATTTCACAGCTGAAATTATGAATTCATGGAATTCAGGACTTGTAATAATATTAATAGCTTATATTTATTTTCCTACAATCGAATGCGCACTTCTTAAAATGCTGTTGAATAAAGAGCAATATATTATGATCAAATATGCACTCATTCATTGCCCCATTCAAACTATCAGCATTAATACTTCTGGATTTGTGCTACATTGTGTAGTGTCTACTAAGTGAAATATAGGTATTCTTCGGAAAAATTTGTGGCAAATATTCTACTTTTAATAAGGTGAATGCACATAAGATGACAGTAAATGATCAAAAAATAATTGCAATCATTAACTATCTAAGATTGGCTAACAATTCAACCAGTTAACCATAACCAACCCTACTTATTAACTAGCTAAACAAGGGTGCAAAATACATAAAATCAATCAATATGACAACATGAAAGAATTTTATTACTAAACCATGAAATATCAATGAGCAATGATATGCAATGCTGCAGTATTTTTGTCAACTGGGATAAATAGTGTATTATCTCTATACAGCCATTTTGCAAACCGAAGACGATTGTTTTTTATGGAATGGGGAGGTTTTATCATAGGTACATTGGGAGAAATGTAAGCTAATTCAAAATTTATTATTATATCAGTGTTGAACTTTAAATATCCTGTGGTCAAATGAATTTCTAGTTTGGTGTTACAAAAAAAAAATTAATCCAATAAACCCAATTCCATGAAAAATATATCAAACAATGATAAAAAAATACTTTTCTAATTCTTTGATTCTCATATCCGCAGTTTGATTGCTTGATGAAATTGAGTTAGCATCTTGGCCATTGCTTTTGTTATTTCTCATTTTAACGGCACTCATGATGTGTAATTTTTTTGTTTACAAACTGAAAATAAAAGTGATGAAAACAATATAAAACTAGGCAACTTTGGGAAGAATGTATGAGCCAGACATCGAATGCTAGTTTTGTACATTGTTTAAAAAATATTTTACAGAAAACTCTCTATCTCTGTAATGACAAAATATGGAATACTTTTTACTTGATTACCCGATTCTATAATAATGCTTGGCCATATTATAATTAATGCCTTAAAATACTAACCAATTGCATTCATAAAGCATAATATACCGCCTCATAAATAATCTGATAAGTTGACTTTTAGGATCAATTTTTGTAGATTTAGGAGTTTCAAAAATGTGCAGGCGTGCAGCTCAATATGTATAGCCTATATCAGATAAATCTAGAGTTAAATTACAGTATTCCCTGATAACAAACTATGCTTACCTTGCTAAAAAGTATCCAAAAACTTGCTACAGACCAGCTGCGTGCATTTGTTTACCACAATTGACTACATATATAATATATCCACTTCCGACAATGGTGCAATATCATGATGTTTATTCCAGATACAAATTAATACATGTAACTTTTTTCTAAATATTCCTTGACATCAAGTATCATATTTAAACCTAAATATTATGGCAACCTGAATAAGGAACATAATCGTCAAATGATTGGTAGAGGATCTTAGTAGTTTCCTTGTTGATTTTCCTGAAAACTTTGAACCCCATTTCCATAGAATTCCACTATTTCTATTAGAATTTATATTATGTAGGTAGGTAACAAAGACAATAACGAGAATATCGGTCGGAGACCGAAGACTTATCGATCGAAAGTTAGGGGACCCCCCCAAAACAGAAACTACGGTTTCGATTCATTCGCTCTGACTCTATAGTGACACCGCGTGTCCCATCACCAATTAATTAAAAACTCGCTAATTATACGACATAATTCATCCAAAATCAATAGGCTTCTGGTCCGAGATATGATGAATGCACATGCAAAATTTGGAGCAGATTCAACCTTGTTTTCGTGAGATACCGCGTGCATCTTACAGACAAACAAACAGACATATACCTACGACATTCGATCAAGATCGATAAGTCATTATCATTATATCTGATGTTCACAAAACATGCTTTTTGTAATTTATTTTATCACTTTTTCAAAATATTTAATGGAATATATATGCTAAGATATTTTCTGTGATTACTGAAGATGAATCATGCAACAGGTACATGTGGGGATGGCCTTTTCTACCAATTTAACATATACTACTCCGGTAATTATTGGTGTCAAGGAGTGACTTACAGCAATTTGCAATCAACTGATTGAACCATGTCCAATTTTTACCAGTAACACGATGTTTCTTTTTATGATAAATGATTTTTTGCAGCTTATGAGCTTTCCGAAAATAATGATATAAGAGAAAATCCAGGCATATCCAGGCATCCACAACATGCCTTTACCATGAAGATAAAATGTAACTGAAAACAAGGCATTTTGTTGCATTTATTTCCAAATTTATGTGGTATTCTATAAGCACTAAATTAGAATAAAGTTGCCATATGCAGTAAAGTCACATATTATTAAACATATTCAAAAAATGAAATTAGTGAACTAACACTGACAAACTAAAACTGGGTGTCCTTTGTTGATCATACAATCCAACATCAACCACCTTCAGACCTTCCACAGGACTGCAGGATCAAAATTTGTTTGTACTGAAACAACAATGTTACTGCACAAATGCCAACAGCAAGTAGGCTACATATATCAGTACGCACACTTTACAGATCGCACATTGTCTTGTTTCAGAGAATCCCATTTCACCGATGAACAGACACCTCCGTCCTATTGGTAAAAATGCAGTTGCGCAACAAACTGGAAAAGGTGTAACTTGAAACCACCACCATTGGATTTCTTAGGGAAAAAACAATCCGATCTCCCAAAAAAAAAAAATTACCAAAGCGTTGGAGAAAAATGAGCAAAAAAGGGCATGAAAGATCTTCGTTGACGGCACTGAATTTCAATCGACGCATGCAGATGCGCATCGGCCTTCCCTCGACGCAAACCTTAGCTTGGTGTGTTTCTCTCGTAGATGAACCTTTTATTTTCATTGTAGATAGGATGGCGTGTTAACGATAACACATGGATCAAAATAATAAAAATGACATTTTGATAACACCACCTTTAATTTATAAAACAATAATTCAATCCAATGCCACAACGAGGCTTCCATATGCCGCAAATGTTCAACTTGCATAATCAGTGAAAAACAAGAATCAATTTAGCAAAAAAATTTAATATAATGCCGCATCGATGAATTCATATGCCGCAAATGTTCAACTTGCGTAATTTATGTGAGAATAAATTAATTCAATGCCGCATCGAGACATTCATATGCCGCAAATGATTAACTTTCGTAATTTATAAAAAAATAGATCGATGAGAATCGAGAGTCACATTAGCAAAATAATTCAATCCAATGCCGCATCAAGGCATTCATATGCAGCACATTATTGACTTGTGTAGCCTAATTAGTACAAGAACTGTTTAATCCAATGTCGCGTCAAGGCATTTATTTTACTATAAATTGTCGGTGTCCAAATGTAAATGAAAATTGCCAAGTAAAATGACAATGAAACCCATTGTGCGTTCTGGAAATTTCCATTCTAAAAAAATCGAAGATGCTATGTTCAATTGTTATAATTCTGTCATTACACATTACACGTATAGGGTGGTGTAGCCAGTCTGCTGACGATTTCATTCAAATCGCTATAAAACAAAAACCAATATTTCTAACAAGTTAATTTTTTCCCCGTAGGTGCATTAGCATTTATTCTACACGCTAAACCTCGAATTAACTTTCTACGACCAGGGGTTAAAGCTATACAGACCACCAAAGTATGACACTCTGGAGACGTATTTGCGACCGAACGACCAGTGTGCGACCACGGATTTCAAGCCTTGAACATCGTTTCTGCTGCGTCGAGACTAGGGCATACGCGGCCATGCATGGAAAAAATGGGCTTCTAATTGCATTTCTGACCGTCATATATTTTAAGAACACGGTTATTTCGAACCAAACTCGTCAAATTATAAACAAAGCACCGCATCACAGCAATCAAACAGACAAAAACACGTTGGTCGCAAATTGGTCGACTGGAAATGCGCACCCCCATATTCCCACTCCTTTGAATGTAGAAACGGGAAACTTTGAAGATGGTTAGAAGAAACACAACTCTACCCACCTGCCAAGTTTCATCGTCTTATCTCCTTTATTTGTATGAATTTTCAAGTTTTTTCAAAGGGACAATGGGTAGTTGGCGACGTGGAAAATGGTACGTTTTTTTTCTTCGGCAGGGTTTTCGGTCGTAACTTTTTTGTGTGTGGCCGTATTTTAGTGTAATTTCGCAGAGCTACAAGGGATAAGTGGACGATAACGCTTGAGAAATATTGTCGCGGTTCGTTAATTTTTTCGGCATTAATTTAATCGATGAAGTTGATGGTCGCAAATAGGTTGTGGCCGCAAAGTGGGTAAGCCACCCTAGGCCGACATAAAAAGTTTGTTTAACTATAAATCCAACTAGCCTATTAGAAAAAAATCGATTTCGGGCTTCGTTTTGACTTTGTTATATGACAATTAAAACGAGCAATTTAATATTGCTTAGAGACCAGAGTCGGAGAGTATTCAGGTATTGTATCATTTACAGTACGGCACACTATCCACTATTCCAAGAATGTTCCGTCATTTGGTTCAATAAAACAAACACTCCATGTGTCTCACAAACGAGGGACGTCTGGCACAACAGCAGATGCGTCATATCGCGCCATGTTTGTCTTGATAATAATCTAAATTAATCGCAGTCGTCTCGAGACCAAAATTGCCGTTTTTTGTTCATAACTCTCGAATGCCACGGTAGAGAATTTTTTCCTTCGGTAAATCTGATTATTTTTTCCCGCGGAATTCAATGATGACGTTTTTAGATTGCGCTTCTTTGAACTTTTTGCGCAATTTCCATTTACTGTAGTTTTACCGATATTGAGGGACAACCATGTCCTGATGTCCAGACGTTCCCCAAAGGGGGGCGGGGGACGTCTAATCATCTGTAAAATGCGTTTCTCTGAAACGAGACAATGTCATAGTGTATCATACTGATTTCACTATCCTGCCTTTCAGCCTTTAATATAGGCTACAGATAGGGCCTATAAAGTACCGGTACGGTACGGTACGGTACCGTACCTTTTTGATTAAAATTTTTTTCGATGTCTTTCGAGAGCGTTAAGACGATTCAATTGAATTTAATTATCGTATACTTATAGGATAGCAGCAATCTGCTAAAGGTACCGGTACTACGTTACCGTACCACGGTACAGGTAGTGTACGGTACCCAAAGCCCTAAATTCCATTATGTGTCTGCATATGGTAGGTATGATGTCCTGTTTCAGTGTTTAGTAGTTTCAATACACAGAGAGATACCGTACAGCATAATGAATAAAAGAGCGGCCAACTATGAGACTTTGTATAACTGTGTGATGCATACCAGCATACGGTACCGGTATCTATTACCGGTACGGTACCGTACCACCAAGTTATCTTGACCAAGAAAAAATGAAAAACAATATACTTTTCGTTGATCTACGTAAAAGAGTAATGCATGTCAAGTTCTTTTTAAACCCCTTCTCCCAAATCCAGTACGGTACGGTACCTAACTTAGGCTATTTAGCTTTGCGTAGTTCGATAGTTTATAGAAAACAGACAGGGAGCGACACTTCAACACAGTTTCTTCATTTCAAGGCTGAGTGATTCGGTTGCATTATGGGAAACGGTAATTCACTGTAATATCTTGGGGACGGGACTTCAGATCATTTATTCCTGTGGGGTGGAGACAGGGAGAATTTATTCGTTCGTCAAATCAGAAAACAGTTCAAATGTATAATATAAAGACTTAAAGTTTCCAGTATATGACTGAATGGTGATAACAATACAACCGTTAATTAAGGTCTCCAAAGTCGGGCATCATCCAAACACAAGTACATAAACAAGAAAGCAATGCTAAATATGTACATGGAAACGAAAATCAAATACCTTCACTGAGAGCTTAAACGATTATTGTATTTGTTTCATATATCTAAATATTAAGAAATCGTAAAAGTGTGCGGTACTGCAGCAACCAATCATCTGGTACAAGCGACTGTTATCAAACACACAAATATTTGATTGTTCGAATTTTTTAAACGAAGCCCATAAGTTTATTTATATATTGCATTTCATTTGCAAAAGTAAAGGTTAATTTATTCATAAGTTTATTATTAAAGTTTATAAAACTAATTGAAACTCTATTTCAAATAATAGCTATACAGTATTCCTATATTACTATTATAAACAAGAGAGCAATGCTTAAATATATGAACACGAAAGTCAAAATGAACCACACGGTGCACAGTTTCAATCAAAGAAAATTCAAAGTAAAAAACGAATCCCATAGAGCCCACAGGTATTTTTGAAATAGAGAGAAGTAAAAGCCGACAACAACAATCTTCAACTACGGAAAATTTCAAAGCAATTGATCCAGTTGCTAGGTTTTCACAACAACAACAAGAAAGAGAAGAATATACTAACAACAACAACAACATAATGATG